CTATGATGTGGCTTTGTTCATCTTATTAAAAACAAAAAGGTACCTTTATTATTATTATTTTATAATGCAAGCAAGCAGTAATGGGGAAATCTGCCTTGATCAATACTTGGGCTCAGATAATTTATTTCTTTTTCCTACCTGGGCTGCTTCCTCCAGCTTCTCTGGCCTCTTTGTTACATTCCATAGCTATATTTGTCAGTCTGTCCTCTTGGGGATTCATGTTTTCTCTGGAACTTTCATTATAGTTTTACTGCTGCCCTAGAGTTATGATTCTGTCAGTGACCATATGGGGGAAACTCTGAAACCGTACTTTTCCTATTTGTCTCCACACAGCACCTGCTCTCCTTGGAGCTAACATCTCTGGGTAGTCATTGCGGTTAAAAGGCATTGTAGTGAATATTATGAAGGGACATTCTCTGGGTCATCAGTGGGAGGGTAGGGTATTCGAGTTTCAGAACACTTTTAAGAAATGTTCTCTTTTTATCACAAACACATCCCCCACCGCCCCACACAGAGACCATACATGCAGGTACTGCAGAGGTCAGAAGAGAGCATGGGGCCATCTGGAGCTGGAGTTACTGGCAGTTGTGAGTCACCTGATTTGCGTGATGGGAACCAAACTCTAGTCCATCTGCAGACAGCATACACTCTTAACTGTCTACAGCATACACTCTGTCTACCTATCTCTTTAGCCCCTAAGAAAAGAAATCTTTTTACAACAGCACTGTCCTACATGAATGCTTAAATTTTCTAGTAGCTATGTTTAAAATGAAGGGGGAAATGAAATTAATTTTATTATGATTTATTTAACCCTATCAAAATATCATTGTACTGACATGTAATTGATGTAAAATTATTAATGAGATAGTGTTTTCAGTACAAAATCTTGCAAGTGCATTCTAGTATATACCCAATACAACTTAGGTATAATCAGATGCAAAGCCCTCACTGGAATACTTAGACCATATTTATTGCTTTGCTTTAAGAAGAATTTATTGAGCTGGGTGTGGTGACGCAAACCTTTAATCCCAGTACTTGGGAGGCAGAGGCGGGGAGATCTCTGTGAGTTCAAGACCAGCCTGGTCTATATTGTAAGTTCCAGGACAGCCAGAGCTACATAGTGAGACCCTATCTTGAAAACAAAACAAAACAAAACAAAAAAAAAAAAGAAAAAAGAAAAGAACCCTACCCCCCAAAATTTTAAAATGTTTAACCCAACAGAACAATTCTAAAAGTTAAAAATTAGTGTCTTGGTCACAGAAGTAAAATACATGGGATAGTTTACCTGCTGCATGTGGTGGCAGCCTTGATGGAGTTTGGGGTACAGGGTTCAACGCCCTAGCACCTGGTTGTCCCTGGCAACCCTACAGAATGTAGGGCCAGAGAGCCTCATATAGTTAGACCATCCTCACACCATGATTGTACTAGTTGTGGGTCCTCCTTGAAGCAATCCTGTCCATTTCTCTTATTTTTCTCTCAGTGAGATTGAAGCTCACAAGGGTTAATTCACACAGTTCCAGCCACCCATGGTAGTGCCAGAGCTTATCCTGCTTGGGTCCTAGTCTAGCGCTACCACCTCTTCCCAGGATTCCATTCTGAGTCCTTCCCAAGGCCCCCAAATGTGTCACTTGCCTGCATGCAGATACCAGCAGTGACTGTGAGCTGAAGACAGTCTTTCCTTCCCACTGCTGGTCCTTGCAGAGAAGTGTGACCACCCCTGACTTCAGAAAACAAGAGTATGACTTGTGCTGTCTTGCAGAGATCTTCGGGAGCAGCCTGTCTTTGGCAGAGCTCAGATAATACAAGCATAGACAGCCTCTCTGGGTTTGGCTGTAGCCAAAGGGGGGCAGTTTGCAGCTGCCCCAGGAGCCTTGACCCTCCCACATTTTTTGGTTTGTAGCCACTGATACGGTCTACGTCCCAGTGCCTTGTCCTCAGGCAAGTGGAGAACAAGGCTCTCACCCAGGATGACTGAAAAAGTCCCCTGTGAGGTTCTCCCTGCTGCACAGCAGCTCTAGCTAATGAGGGCATATAGCTAGAGCCTTATACTCAGGACATTGGTGACAGCTCTCGAAACTCCTTCGGCACAGTTGTACTTGGGCTGTTATCTGCCCTCATAACCTAAGAGAAATTGGGAAAAGCTTGAAAATATATCTTTATCCCTCCTTTCTTACATGCTCAAAGCCCTTCATATACACCCAACCTCATAGTGACTCATCCTTTGGTTTCAGGCAGACTGCACACTCCACCTTTTCTATAATTTCTCTTGAATTCTCCTGCTAGCATGTAGCCCTCATGATCTGACCATGCTGTTTCCCAGGACGTTTCAGGAAAACTGGTTATGCAAGTGACATTTCCTGTTTACCCACTTTTAATAATTAATGGCTGAGGATGATGCATTATAACCACAGTGTCTTAATGTCATTTGTTTGAGGTTTTACCCTTGTTTGCCAAATAATTGTGGCAGTCTATTCTATACACAGACAAAGGCAGCACAACACTCCTCTGTGAAGATGATTTTGAATGTGAGCTGGGCACTCTTTCTCATGTATATAATCCTAGCTGATTCAGAAACATCACTGTGAGTTCCAAACCAATCTGGGCTAAAGAGTGAGGCCCTGTTTAAATAAATAAATAAATAAAAAGACAAAAACCTATTTCATTCCCCTTGCGCTCCTAAATTTGTGCTCTTGCTGAAACCATCTTCCTAAACTCATGTTCTACTGCCTAACATCTCTAGCTGTGCCATCATGTACTCCCCTAACTCAGCCCAGGAGTAGCATCCATCTTGTACTTTGTGTGATATCCCTGTCCTCTAAATGGTCCCATTATAACTCAACTTATCCAGAAATCTGGTTCTTCCTGACCACACCTTTATTTATTAAAACAAACAAACAAAAAAAACAGGGTTTCACTATGTACCCCAAACTGGCCAAGAAATATTGATCCTCTGGTCACAGTCTGTCAAGTGCTGGGGTTACAGATATCATTTCCATGCCTGGGTTTCTCTTCTTAATTTCTTCTCTATAAGGTCCTACAGGATCTGGTCCAGTTTGGTCCCCAGCCTGTTCTTTGACTCTCAGTCTGGATCTTGAGCCATCTAGACAGTGCCATGTTCTCACTTACGTAGGCCTTCATAGTGTGCTGTCGGCCCCCTCTGCACTCTTCTCGGATATCCAAGGTCACTCACTGGAGAGCTGCACCAGGGAAGTCTGAGGATCATCTGGAAATTCTTTGTGCTACATCAGTAATTTCACTGCTTCACTTCCTGTGTGGTTCTTGTTCACCGATAGTTCCGGTGCTCAACACTCTGTCTTACACACAGCAGGTACACACTAAATATTTGTAGAGTAACAGCTGTTCTATCCAGAGAACTTTGTGCATGAGCAATCTGCCTTCATAATCTCACTTAACAAGAGTAGATCAGGGAGAGTGTTATTGGCCTACAGAAGATTGAGAGCAATTAAGAACAGGAAGTAGATTTAGGCTAGTTGTACAGCCAGAGTCCACAGAACTTGCTGATAGTTTGGATAAGGGACTGAGTGGCATCCGAGTTGGTAGGAGGTAGAAAATGGGCACTTATTACATCTGTAACTGTTCTTAGATAAGACAAGCTACATTTCCTCATTTAGAGCTACCTTAGGTAGGAGCCATTATCAACTGACATTTTGTAACTTCCTAAGTCTTTTTTTTTTTTTAAATGTGTGTGTGTGTGTGTGTGTGTGTGTGTGTGTGTGTGTGTGTGTGTGTGTGTTTGTGTGTGTTTGGTACATCTGTGGAGGTCAGTGTTTGTGTAAGCTGCTTCTTTCCTTCTACATGTCAGCTCAGGGATCAAACTTAACATCATTAGGGCTTAGAAGCAAGTGCCTTTACCCACTGAGCTATTTCACTGGCTCATCTTCCTAAGTTTCTGTGGTTTTTGGTTCTTTTGTTTTTTTTAAGATTTATTTATTTTAGAGCCGGGCAGTGGTGGCGCACTCGGGAGGCAGAGGCAGGCGGATCTCTGTGAGTTCGAGACCAGCCTGGTCTACAAGAGCTAGTTCCAGGACAGCCTACAAAGCCACAGAGAAACCCTGTTTCGAAAAACAAAAAAACAAACAAAAAAAATTTATATGTGTGTTTTGCCTGTATATGTACTGTGTACATGCCTGGTGCCCTCTGAGATCAAAAGAGGGTATCAGATCCTCTGAAACTGGAGTTACAGATTTGTTGTCTTAGGGTTTCTATTGCTGTGAAGAGACACCATGACCATGGCAGCTCTTATAAAGGAAAACATTTAACTGAGGCACTGGCTTACAGTTTCAGAGGTTCAGTCCATTATCATGATGGGAAGCATGGTGGCATGCAGGCAGACATAGCTCAGACTTCTACATCTGGATCCATAGGCAGTAGGAAAAGAATGAGAGCTACACTAGGCCTAGCTTGAACTTCTGAGACTTTAAAGCCAGCTCCTAGTGACACACTTCTTCCAGCAAGGCCACACCTACTCCAACAAGGTCACACTTCCCAATAGTGCTACTCCCTATGGGCCTATGGGGTCATTTTGATTGAAACTACCACAGCTGTAAACCACCATATGGGTGTTTGAGAACTGAACTGGTCATCTGTAAGAACAAGTGATCTTAACCATATCTCTCTCCAGCCCCATCTTCCTAAGTTTTAAAGTGAAAGGGGAAAATCAGGATTTCAGTCCCATGTACACACTGATTCCTGAACCACCCCACAGAGAACAGTATTGCCAGCCCCAGATCTTGCACACTTACAGTTTCTATGGTGTAAATTTCCCTATGCCAGTAACAGGAATAGTTTCAAAAGTTAAACTATGCTGTTCTTATAGAGTTTGAATATGAGGCTTGCTTAAAGTAATACATGAAGAATACAAAACAGCAAGGTAATGGGGTGGGGAAAATGAGGGCTTGGCATCATGGTGGAAGCAAGAGAGAGGATTAGGAGTCAAGGCCAACCTTGTCTCAAAAAATCTCACAACAAATAAAAATAACCTTTTTCTGTTTAATTTTAGGGATGATGACTCTTACTGTTCTTCACCCACGTTGAAGAAATACTGCACTTTAATCTCCTGTCTATGCCATCAGGCCAACTGAAGACAGGGTTTTAAAATCTCAGCTATAGAGATATCCAGCCAAAGTCTCAATCTTGCCTTAACAATGTTTCAGAGACTGAACAAAATGTTTGTAGGTGAAGTTGCTACTTCTTCCAACGAAGAACCAGAATTTAGTGAGAAAGAAGATGATGAATGGATTCTTGTTGACTTCATAGGTAAGGTATACTCAACAATTAATCATCACAACACAAGTGGCATCCAGAAAGCTATGTAGCTAAGGATAACCTAAACTCCCGATCCTCCTGACTTCATTTCCCAAGGACTATGATTATAGACACACCCCACCACACCTGGCCCAAAACACCTGGGGTTGTGTGCATGTGGCTCAGTCAGTAGAGTGCTTCTCTATACACAAAAATGAATGTAAATATATATTTACACAGAAAATGAACTCTTAAATGTAATTTTTAAGGTTTAAAAGTAAATAAATAAGGACATTTCTAAACTTTCAGGAAACATTTTGTGCCAGACAATCAGTCCAGTTAATGAAACCCACTGACGTCAGACTTAGCAGTTTTGCAACTCCAAAGCCTAGTCCAAGCAGAGATACTTTAATGGCAAACCCTCATATGAGCAACAGGAACCCATGAGGCTCACAATATGTTTATTTGCCAGATATAAAGTCCTAAAGTCATTCCTTAATGCCAGTATAGCTATATATAGACAGGTTGGAAATTAATTTATAATTGCTACAAGCGAATACTGCTTTTGTGAGCATCTGTTAATACAGTATTGTCCTTTTTTTCTGTTGTGAACTTGATGGGTGACTACCACCACTGACTGCTCATCCTCCCGTGTGCAATGTGGATCACAATCTAGATACTTGCACTGGTTTCTCAGCAGAAGAAGAGGAAGAAGATGATGACATCAGTGAAGAGTCTCCAGCAGAGCACACATCAGTCTTCTCCTGTTTACCTGCATCTCTGGAGTGTCTGGCTGATACCAGTGATTCCTGCTTCCTCCAGTTTGAGTCCTGTCCAATGGAGGAGAGCTGGTTTATCACCCCTCCCCCATGTTTTACAGCAGGTGGATTAACCACTATCAAGGTGGAAACAAGTCCTATGGAAAACCTTCTCATTGAACATCCCAGCATGTCTGTCTATGCTGTGCACAATTCCTGCCCTGGTCTCAGTGAGGCCAGCTGTGGGAATGAAGAATATAACTCAAGCAGTCCCAGGTATGTTGCGAGCACTCTACTCTCTGCACAGTCTGCTAAGCAAAAATTTTATTTCTACACAGTACAAAGCTAAGGCTTTAGAAGAAAAACAAGTAATTGTGTTGGAAATTTACTTAAGTAACACAGTCAGGGCTAAAATTGCAGCATGTAGGTCAGGATTGAGTTTTATAAGGTTATTAGTTGTAGCATGGCTCAGTTGTATAATAGAGAGCCATCTCACTTATAAAATTATGCTACTGGAGGGAAATAAAAAAGACTAGTATTTCTGATAAGTATATTAGAATACAATTCTGGCATACTGTAGACTAAATTATTTAGGGTATCAAATTCACCTAAAATATGTCTCAAAAATTTATTTTCTTCCACATATCTTAGCTAAATCACTTTAAGTGGTACTTGCTTAACCTAGAAAATCCAAGTATTTGTTCTAAGAGCCATCCTCAGATTTCACATTGCAGTGATGTCTGTTATATGGCAGTCCAAAGTGGCAAGGGGGTTTTGAATGGCAGATGAGTGAGGACCCAGTAAGCTCAGGGGAGGGAAGTCAGTGAAGATTAGTGTGTCACAAATCAACCTTCCAGAGATTCTGTGGCCTTCACCAAGAGAACATTTTCAACAATACATCTCAGACGATTGTCACCTATGAAAACCAAGTTCTCCTCTCCATTTCATCTGCTTAGTCTGGCCAGTCAGTCATACATGTCAGTGGAACATGCCCTGTAATAGCAAACCACATTGTGAATGTTGCCACTGACTTATGCCTTCTCTGGATCTTTTGGAGTACTTTACCATGATCCTAAAGGCTCCTTTTGGATAGTTCAGGCCATGACTCCACTGGCCCATTGTATATAGCTTGTTCCCATCTATGGAGTAAACACCAAACCCAGGCAATGCCAACCTTTGCAGAAGTGCTAGGCTTCCAAGTCTCAATATTATATAGATGCACTTTAGAAAGGCTAAATACTCCTCTTACTTGTACCAAATTAAAAGTCATGTTTTTATACAGTCATGTAATACCAGGCATAAACTGGGGCTTCAAGTGGCACTTTTTTGAAAGACATAATTTTGCTGAGTTAAATGTATTGGCATCCCAATGAAAATTAAAAACATACCTTGTTGGAGGTGATTGTGACTTAATTGCTTTACAGTTGCTTTAAGCAGATTTCCTCAGTTCTTAAAAATTCTTCCCTATTAACACTGATTGAATCTCTGAGGAATCCAATCAAGAATTTTACATGATTAGGGGCTAGAGAGATGGCACTGGCTGCTCTTTCAGAGGACCCAAATTCAATTTATAGCATCCATATGGCAGCTCCTAACTGTAACCACAGGCTCTGGGGATCTCGCCATCTTCTGGCCTCTGTGGGTACTGCAGGCACATGGTGCACAGATTGATTTACATGCAAGTAAAACATTCATAGTTACAAAGTAGAAATAAGTAAAATCTCAAAAAAAAGTCAAAATAATCTAACATGATTAACAGTCACTTTAAATTTACTTACTGGCATTTGATACTTTTAAATAAAGTACATCTGTGTGTGTATAATTGGCAGTTTTGTAATGTTACAGCATACACTGCTAAAAATTTAAATATGCAGAAATTTAAAATTTTAAAATGACATCTCTCATGATCCACAGATGAATACTGTTAACACCCTAGGCATGTCCTAAGTTGTTTTTACTATATAGGCAAGTTCCAGTACCTGTTCACCTACACTTTGAACCCCAAAGGGGGCATGTTTCCAATTTATTAGGCATGATACCCATCATCGTGTTTCAGCAAATTTTCACTTTTATCTTCTTACCAAATCATACTTTAATCCTCCCCTTAAGAGCCTGGTTCTGGAGTATTTCAGCTTTATCCAAACCAGCATCTGTGCACTATATCTGGAGTTTGTTTGCTACTTGGTGCAACAAAAAGTTGGATTTACATTACTGTATTGTACGTCCTGGCATGTAGGATCAGCAGATAGACACTTTTCATACATGATTACCAAAGGCCAGCCATGGTGGTACAAAAGGTGTCTCAAAAAGGATGTGTATGTATATTTCTAAATCAAGGTAGAATCAGGTGTTAACCAAAGTATCAACACTGTTTATGTAGTAAAGCCTGTGCTTTCTGAGCAAACAGTATACTATCTTTCAAACATATTACTTCCATTCTGTCTGTCCTCAGGAATAGTATAAACCACAAGTGGATGAAGCTGAGTACTTATAATGCTTTAGAGTGTACATTTTATTGCATCTTAGCCTTTATAAATATTGTCTGTGAAGGTTTATGAGCAAGCATAATTTTAATATGTCTTCTTTTGCCCATAATCAGTCTTATTAAAGAAAAATGACCATGTCCTAGTAGTAAAATTAAAATGGCATTTTAAATCTTACTAGTGATTTAATAGTTGACCATTTAACATTTGTAGGGCCAGAAAAAGCTGCTTATAAGACTCATGGGCACAAGTAAGTATGTTCACTTTGAGACTGTATGATGTGTGTTATCAGTCTGAGCAAGGAGCTCAGGAATCCAAAATGCCTGCCTTCTAAAAGTCATCGAGCTTATATTAGCTTCTTTCTTTTTTTTTTTTTTAGAATTTATTTATTTATTGTGTATACAACATTCTGTTTCCATATATATCTGCACACCAGAAGAGGGAACCAGCTCTCATTACAGTTGGTTGTGAGCCACCATGTGGTTGCTGGGAATTGAACTCAGGACCTTTGGAAGAGCAGTCTGTGCTCTTAACCTCCAAGCCATCTCTCCAGCCCCCATTAGCTTCTATTTGTTTCTTTTTTCCTTTTGTTTTTCCGTACTGCAAGGGATCAAGCCTTATACATACTAGACAAGCACTCTACCACTGAGCTATACTACCACCCAACTCTCTGTTAATTTCCCAACGGGATCTGCGTGTATGTGCATGACGATAGTTTCCTCCCATCATTTTAGGCAAATTATGTAACTGCCCTTCCTGAATAAAATAATTCCTGAATAAACTCAGACTGGGATATAGCTCAGTTTGTAGAGTGCTTGTCTGGTGCACAAGAAAACCTGGATTCAGTTGCCAGTGAATAAGCCAGACTTGGTAATGCACACCTGTAAACCCAGCCCTGGAGAGGTAGAATGGCTACACTGGGAGTTTGAAACCACCCTGAGCTAGATGTCTCAATCCTCATCCTCATTGTCAAGTCATGCTGGGAATGTAGCTCACTTGTCAATTCTGCAGGAGGCCTGAGATCAATGCACAGCACTGCCCAAAACTAAAGCTTTGTATGTGTTAGTATAGAAAACACATACTGATATAGTTGTGGCCGAGTGGTTAAGGCGATGGACTAGAAAACACATACTGTATACAACCATGTTCTAATGTATGTGTTTTTAAGGGTTGTGAAACACTCTAGTGTAAATGCCATTCCAAAATATGCCCTCCTGTGGCATAAATAAAAAAAACTGACATAATAGGCATTGTTTTTTTTAACTTAGCAAATATGAAGTTGCAGGAATGTCCTTATATACATTTCTATGAAATATAGACATTTTACTTGTAGCCAGAAATCATCTGTGAAGGTGCTATTAATGTAAATGCTTTTTGATCAGTCAAATTTGAGAATTAAAATATTTTACTTTTAGTATTATGGTAAAACTGAAATAGATAATTTCTTCAAAATAGCTAAAAGCTGGATGTGGTGGCTCACACTTGGGAAGCTGAGGCAGGAGGATCAGTAATTCAAGGCCAGTGTTGCTTACATGGCAAATTTGAGGCCATCCTGAGCTATGTGGGATTCTGTCTTAGAAAACTAAATAAACAGATCTGCAAATGTTCAGTAATCAGTTCTCCTCTTGGAGAACCATTCACTCAGAGTATGAAGCACATTTTTAATATACAGCCCATTTAGCCATCTCTGGATCATATGCTATACTCATATTAAAAGTTAACCTTTTCAGGGGCTGGAGAGATGGCTCAGAGGTTAAGAACACTGGCTGTGCTTTCAGAGGACCCAGGTTCAATTCCCAGCACCCACATGGCAGCTCACAATTGTCTGTAACTCCAATTCCAGGGATCTAACACCCTCACATAGACATGCATGCATGTATGCATGCAGGAAAACACCGATGAACATACATTTTTTAAAAAAGTTAACCTTTCACCTAGAAGTTATGACACACATTTGTAATCCCAAAACTTAGGGGGGGGGATGAGGCATGGGGGTGGTGAATTTGAGGGTAGCCTAATAACAAGACACTATCCCCCCCCAAAAAAAAATTGGCTTCCCCCTTCTACCACCATCAGCAAATACAGTCACAAAATATAAATCTGCCCACCAGTCAGGAGTTAGTTCTTACCCAACCAGAGACAAATAAATTACTAAGTAGCCTTTTTAGTACTCTGTTGTTGATACATTCCACTTTGATCTGTTTCAGAATGGAAGCCCAAAGTGAAATTGGGGAGCACATTCACTGCTGTGTTGCAGCTCTTGCTGCTCAGGCAACGTTTTTGGAACAACCCAAGGGCTTCCGCCCTTCACAATGGATAAAGGGACACAGTGAAAGACAGTCTCTGAACAGAAATGGCCTTCGTCGCCACAACCTTACCAGGGATTGCCACGCTCGACAAATGAAGCACAGTGGCTGGGTGGTTCACCACCACTGCCCACGCCAGTATAATTACTGAGAACACTGAATTCTGCTGGTTGGTGTCCTTGGGTTTGTGCCTATGTATGTGGATGTGTGTGCATACGATGGAAATGCTGTCTCTTTCCAGCCAACTGAAGACCAATTGCCTAGTGTATCAGTGTGTCTAGACATTGTCACACCCAGATTGTTGTGCTGTGTATCACATAATGCCTTGCTCCTGACAACTACTTTAAAATCCTTTTCAGAATCTTTTTGGAAACATATCAATACAGTTACAGTGTTTGGGGTGGTCTTTAAATACAGTGAGGTATATATGAGTTAGTCAGCGTTTAAAGGACATTTCTTACCCCAAGTATAAGAATAGGCATCTTTTCAATTTCATTTATTTTGTATTATTTAATCTTTTTGTGTAAGCAAAAATTTATTCTCAGGGTCAGCCATATACTTTATTGACCAGTACTTGATAGTCTTTTCTGTATATAATGAGTACATTTTTATACACTAACATGAGCATTAACAGGTGATTTTGCCATGGATATAATGGAATTGATGGCTGAACTTACTTTTGAAAGAAAACTTGACGTATTTTGTATGTATGGTTCTTTTTTCCCAGATTAGTCATTGCAGTTTATTGTGGAATTCAGGTACATTCTCTTTGGTGAACAATGCATTCAGTAATTCTGATGTGACTCCTCAAGATGGTACAGATACTAGAGCTGTCATGGACAAAAGCACTTGCCTCCTATGCCAAGAGAAAAATGGGAGCTGCAAGGTGATATTGGAATTCTGTCTGTATGTAGGTAGCCCACAGAGCAGTCAGTATTTGGAGGTCTCTAGAGTCTTAACTGCCAGCTCAGCTGAGAATGCACAAGTGCTTGCCCAGGCACTTGAAGACTTTATGCTCATGTCTGCCCTGAAGAAAGGAAGAAAGAGAGACAGTGGTAACTCCTCCCAAGGGAAAAGCATGGGGGACTTGGGTGGTGTCTGTTTATAGCATCCAAGTGAAGACTGATGGATTGGTTTCCTTGAGCTTTCATTCTTTTTTAACTTCACAAAATCTTTAACCACTTTGGCCTCTGTTTCCTCCACAGCAGGGGAGTAATAATACTTACCTCCCTCACAGAGTTGTGAGGATTACATACTAATTAGAAGTGGAGCTGTCAGAACTGAACTTTGTGTGAACTTCCAGGGCCTTTCTACTGAACCTAGTGGTGGGAGGCTGTGGCACTTTTTATGCCATGATTATTATTCAGGGTTGGTGCTAATGGTGCAATGTTCCACTCACATAGGCCAGTTAACTTGATGTAAAGGAAAGTCCATTTTCTTACCTCTAACTGGTCACTTCTTTGTAAGAGCAGTTTTGATGGATTTTAATGAGCCATCCACACTTGCAACCAACTTTCTGGAAAATTAAACCCGTGTACTGCTTAAAGTACATTCTACTGAGAATACTATCATTACCTATATAATCAAACAGCTCACTTCCCTATCTCCTCTGCAACCCTCATTAAACACTTGTTCATGAACTAATTTCAAGGAAAAGGCAGCATACTGTTACATGAAGTATTGTCCCTGGAGCAGCCTGACACAGGGAAGCTTGGGAGACTTTCAGGGAAGAGCTGCACTCGCTCTCCTCTGACAAGGCTGGGGGTTAGAGCTGCAGTTAGATGGTGAAGGGTGTTCTTACACTGGCTGTGTAAGTGCCACGATGGCTCTCTTAGAACAGGAATCTAGATTCCTTGTCCTTCCGTAAACCTTTTCCATATGGACTTCCCCTTTTATTTATTTGTTTTCTAATTAGGGGCCAAGTCTGTAAAGTTTGTCAAACTGAGAAGTTATTTGTTACTATTTGTGTTTTCATGAAGGTGTGCATGTTTTATTATACCATGTCTGTTATAGGATCATATGCTAATAACTTGAAAACAGAGCAGCTATGTGTCTTCTGGACACAAGCTTCTAAATACATGTAAGCCTTTCCTACCCCTTACATCACATGCAAGTTGTGTCTCACAAGCTGGAAGTTCAGCCATGGCAATTTGTTTGGCCAGCATCAACTGATTTGTGTATTAAACTACAGTGTTTTTTTTTGTTTTTTTTTTTTTTTTAAACAGCTTTCCCCCTTACTTGTTCATCCCTTGAGTACATTTACATCTCTTTCAGTACTGACTTTTCATTTGCCTTGTCTGTGCCTAGTATTTTTGACCTGAAAACCTGAAAACAGATCAATTACTGGGATTTTTTTTTTCTTTAGGATTAAGATTACCACGTCACCTATAGTAGGCAGCACAGTGTGGTTCCTGTGAGAAAATTTAAAGTCTATGTCTAAAATTGGCACATGTAAGAATGGAAGAAAAATTGAAGTTCTTGGTCATTAGGTGTTTTGTTAGGCAACTACTATAAGACACAAGTCCAGTAACACAGACCAATATGAACCTGTTAAATGTCTTTTGAAACATGGCCGGAATGCATTTTATGAGTTGATTACTCACTGATTACCATTATCATTATTTTGCTGTTGTAACAACTTCTAGTGGTTTACAATGTACTTCAGTGCATTAAAAGTACAAGCAGTAGGAAGACCCCCAAGGGTTGGGGATGTGGCTTAGTGGTATAACTCTTGCTTAGTATATGCAACGCGCTGAGTTCCACCCCCAGAACTGTAGAACAAAACAAAGTAAGACTCTCCTGCATTAGGAGCGCTGACCATTTCTAAACTGATAGCCTAGAATGCTTGGAAAGTCTGGAATACATGGTGTACATCGCCACATATCTGGGGTATGTCTTTTAGCTTTTATAGTAGACCCCACATTCCTCGAAGTTTGTGATTTGTGTTAAATAAACATTTAGAGTGTGTATTCTGTTAATTACTATTTCCTGAGTTATATTCTGCACTGTAGGAAGACGCTAGGCTCGCCATACTTATCTTGTGGCTATTTGTATTTGTGTGGTTGGGTAGGTGCAGAGATGCTAAGAGATTTGATTTATACTTCCCATTACAGGAACTTAAAAAAAAAAAACCCAAAACTCATTAATTTTCTGTATATTTTTCCAATTCCCATGCAGATTGTTCCTGTTTTATCAGTTCTTTGGTTCTATCAAGAAGAGTGTTTACTTAAAACTTGCCAGGGCCCATAAGCCTGCCTACTGTTTTTGCTTCTCAAATCTGTACACTGGTTTTTAGTTTTCACTTTTTTGATATCTGAATTGCTTTGCTATTTTGCTCCGTCCTCATAGAAGCATACAGTCTTTGTATACACTTTTTTTAAAAAAAGCTAGGCAGGGTATTGTCTATTCTCATTTTCTTTGAGTTGGAAACAAATATAAGTATGAAGGAAGGACTACAACGAGAAGACAGACATTTAAATGCATTTAATAAATTAGTGGGAAAAGTTTCTACCATTTTCAATTTTAGAGACAGTTAAGAGACTGCTCCTTGTGCTGGGAGATACTACTATATGTCTCTATTGTTCCCTTGAAGTTATCTTTTTATTTTATAAGGCCTATAGATACTATTAGTTTAAAATTCTTTAAAGTTAGGTAGTTCCATGCCATTAGTCTATGATGTATTATAAATGGCAACCCTATCTACTTATTATACGGAAATTTTACATGAATACTTGTCTATTTAACAAATCTACACATATGACAGTTGTGTCTACTTTGTCATAGGCCGATTTCTCTTGAAATGTGACACCAATTCAAGCAATTTAGGTGCAGACACACCAGGAAGTGTCTCCTCTTACTGGCAACAGTATCCATTATGTGGAAGAGAAGTTACTATTCAGAGGAAGGCAACTTAGTGGATGATGTTGTGTGTGTCATTGATAAGTTTCCTTGTGATATTGAGAAATGTCTCCAACTGTTAAGTGGCCAGTTTGGCTCTGTACTTTCCTGTTTTAGTATTGTTTTCTAGGTGGACTTGTAAAAACCAAACAGTGCTTAGGAGGTTATATGTGTGTATTTGGGGGCCTCTCTTGTGTGTTTGTGTGTGTGGTTTCGTTTTCCTCTAGAAGTTTTGAACTTTAGTTAATAATTTTATGTGTTTTTATTTTTAAAAAGTGGCTTTATTTCTTTCCTTAGTAAAATTGTGAACAAACTTGTCTTCTGAAGGCAGGGTATGAGTTATGGATACAGAAAAGTATTGTAGGTTGTACTGTGTGCCTTTGTAATGTGTTTATGGGCACAGTTTTTTCTCTCATCAACTTGAAAACTTTAAAAGGGACATTTTGGTTAGGTTATACATACTGTAAATCAATCTATGCATAAATGGCAGCTTGTTTTCTTGAGCCACTAATTGTTTTTCTGTTTTTATAAATTTTTTTATACTGATTGGGTCACAGATGGTCAGTTTTATACAGAATGAACAGCACTTTGCCAAAAACACATGTAGCATTGCTTAAACATTGTGTACTAACACCAGTTCTTTGTAATGGGTTCAGTAGTGCATTTTGCACTGCCTGGAGCTATGTTTTTTTAATCTGTCAGTAAATAAAATGTCCTTTAACTTAACATGTGTTGGATACTTTTATCTTCATGGTCATTACTTTTTTTTAAATGTGCGTTTTGACATGGGTGGCAGGTCCACTGGAACTGGAGTTATAGTTGTGAACTGACATTTGGGTGCTGGGAATTGAATTTGGATCCTCTGGAAGAGCAGTCTGTGCTCTTAATCTCTGAGCCATACCTCCAGCCCAGTCATTACTCTTGAAAGTAATACAACTTAAAACACTTGCTATCGACAGGTGGTGGTGGCATACACCTTTAATCCCAGCACTCAGGAGGCAGAGGCAGAGGCAGGCGGATCTCTGTGAGTTCGAGACCAGCCTGATCTACAAGAGCTAGTTCCAGGACAGCCTCCAAAGCCACAGAGAAACCCTATCTCGAGCCTCCCTCCATGCCCCCCCAACACACACAAAACCAAAACAACAAAGCCTTTGTGTGTATACATATATATGTATATAGCATATATTGTATAGTTTATATGTGTGTATACATACATACATATATATATGTATATATATGTGTGTGTGTATGTATGTATAATATATTTTCCATCTAAAGTGAATAGTTATTTAAATGAGTTTAAGTTTAAGGGTGATTTCGAACTAGTACTTTATCCTCTAGCCAGTCTATTCTGTATTTTGGGGGAATGGGTATATGTGCTTTACATGTATGTCTGTTTACCATGTACATGCAGTGCCTGTGGTGGTCAGAAGAGGGTGATGGATCCCCTGGGTCTAGAGTTACAGTTGTGAGCTCTCAGTTAAGAGCTTGGAATCAAACCCAGTTCCTCTGAAGATTAACCAGTGTTCTTAACCACACAGCCACCTCTCCAGCTCCAAAGATAATTTTTTGAGACAGTGTCTCAGCTAACCCAGGATGGCCTTGAATTCCTGATCCTCCTATCAGATATTTTTCAAACTAAGGCAGAAATAAAATTGTATTTGGAGGGCCAGTCTTTTAAAAGGGAAGAGCTTACTGCTAACATGAATAAAACTTCAGTTTCTCATTAAGTTTTTTTCTGTGTATGCATGTTGTATGTGGGGAGAAGCTGGAGCACCAAAAGTCATTGCTGGGTGTCTTCTTCAGTGGCTCTCTATTTTGCTGAGGCAGGATGTCACATGAACTTAGCACTCTTAATCCCTTCAACAGCTGAACTAGCCAGGGAACTCCAGGGATCCCAGACCCTGCCACAACCACCTAACATTATATGTGTGCTGTGGTTCTTAGCTCCGTCTTCATGCTTGCAATAGCAAGTGCTTCATTCACTGAGCCATATTCCTAGCCCTAAGTCTTTTCTTTTGTTGAATAGTCTTGCCAAAAAGGATGTGTTCGAAAATTACCTAAATAAGCCTTAGTCTAAAAGCTTTAAAGTAAAATGTAACACCTGACTAAATTTAAAACTGACATACATATCCTTTTTTTTTTTTTTTTTAAAGGAGAAACCCATTTTATCAGTTCCAAATTTACTGACTCATCTCCCAAAGATCAAACACTGGAGACAGGGCACTGCAGACTGGGGGGACAGAAAGAGGTGTGTGGCTGGGTTAGAGTGGAGAAGAGGACATTAGGAAGAGGTAAGCAAAGGATGGTGGCAACTGGTGCAGACTACTGGGAATGCAAGCAGAGTACACTGGTCTATGGTACCTCTATCTGCCTGCCCTTTAATGACAAATTACAGGAAGAAAATTGCCAATCAATTTTTTTGGCAGTTATACTCAAGAGTTAACAAAGAGAAATCAAAATATTTTATTCAGTGATTAATTTATACTCTAAAACCAGCCTATGGGGAAATGTACAGGACAAAGACAACTAGCAGTTGAAGAGCTGGCTCTGCTTTTTCTGAGATAAACCAAGACTCTGAAATCACAGCAGAGCATGACAAGGTGGCACAGGGCACTAAGCCCACCCTGCACCAGCATGTCTGGAAACACGGAGGGTTTCAGGTCAAGGCCAGGACACAAATCCCAGGGGACTCAGCATTCAGATGATCAGATGGTGTCATCATTTCAGGGTATTTGTTTCTGAGGAGCCTGGACTGTGTCATTCAGAAGGGAGCCACTGGTTATGTTGAATATCTTGTTAAAGAAGCTAACAAGTTTCTCAATGGGGCTTGGTGGTACATGCCTCCAATCTCAGCATTTGGGAGATGGAGGGAAGCAGGAGGATCAGGGATTCAAGGTCATCCTTGATACATAGCAAATTCGAGGCCAGCCTGGACTACATGGGACCTTGTCTGAAAACAAAAAATTTCTGAGTGTTAAGAGGTCAATCAATATTTCATTCTGAAAAAAAAAAAATCAGATATTCACTTACAGCAAGTCTGAAAGTATTGAAATTATGAAATAACTTTCAAAAGAAAGATTTTTGTTTCAGAGAGAGGGACAGTTGGACAGGGTCTCAATATGTAGCCTGGTCTAGCCTCAAACTTGTGGCATTCTTCCTGCCTCTGCCTCCCAAGTATTGAAATTCACAGTTGTGCACCACATCTAGCTCAAAAGAAAGTCTTATTGATCTGAAAATATTGGACAAATGTGACAGAGAATGTCAATCTGTAGCCCAAGAGATGTATGTAGATACAGCTCTAGAAATGCCCAAGGGATGACTGGCCTAAGTTAACTACATTAACTTTCTTGGACTTTGCCTGGTGGTGGTAGTACATGCCTTTAATCCCAGCACTTGGGAGGCAGAGGCAGGCGGATCTCTGTGAGTTTGAGAGCAGCCTAGTCTACAGAGGGAGTTCCAGGACAGCTAGGGCTGTTACACAGAGAAACCCTGTCTCAGGGGAAAACAAACAAACAAACAAACAAACCCAAACCTAACAGGGTCGGGGTATAACTCATTTGGTAGAATGTTTGCCTAACACACATGAAGCCTGGACACACTGGATAAAATTGGGTATGGTGTTTTGCCTGTAATTCCAGCACTGGGGAGGTGTAGATAAGATGATCAGAAGTTCTGATTCCTAGAACAATGCCAATTGTTCTTGTACCCCTTGTAACAGAACTAGACTGGTAAAACATTAATTCTTGTGGCATAACATTTATTGACGGACTTGACAAAGCAGAGACTTCTTATGCTCTAAGCTGTGAGTCAGTCTTTTCCTACTATCAGGAGGTCCTGCATTTGACCCTCAGCACTACCAAAACACAGTAACAAATCAGCACTTCCCTTGTAGTTTTGTTTTTGTTGTTGTTGCTGGTGTGTGTGTGTGTGTGTGTGTGTGTGTGTGTGTGTGTGTCTGTTTGTCTGTCTGTCTGTCTTGTCTGTCTAAGTGCTTGCTATGCAACCCCAATAACATGAATTCAATCTCTGGATCCCACAATGGAACAAGAGAACAGATTACTAAATACTGTCCTCTGATTACCACAAGTGTGCTGTGCTCCCATAATCTTTCATAAACATACTAATAGAAAATAAAATTTAAAATTCAGTCCATAATCCTTTATTTGCAGTATTTGAAAAGCCCTTAAAACTAAGATATTCCCCCTAAGTTTGTTGCCAAACTTACTGCCCAAATTTAAAAAAAAGAAAAAAAATCTGTCTTAACTGACCTAAGACTCCATTGTCACAACATTGTCCAACGCCTCTCCCATGTGCCAAAATCTGTTGCTATTTTGTTTTTCTGTAACCATGTAATGGTCAAAGATTAGGTAGGGGTATTGAAGTAATGGCTCAATCACTAAGAAAGAGAGAGCACAGGCTAGTCTTCTGGAGAACCCAGGTCGGTTCCCAGCATCTCTCTCAGCACCTATACACCTGTCTTTGAATCCCAGAACAGCGCCAACTGGAACTCCAATTTCGAAGGATCTAATGCCCTCTTCTGGCCTAAGCAGGCACTGCAGAAGATGGAAGGCAAAATGCCACCCATTTTCAAAAAGAAAAAAGAAAACCAAAAATGAGGGGCAGGAGAGGTGATTCCGTTAGTAAAGCACTTACCACGTGAACATGAGAACCTGAGCTCAGAGATCCCCAGCACCTACAAAAGCTGGGCATGATAGTGTACACCTGTGACCCCAATGTTGGGAGGTAGGGATAGTAGGGTTCCACTGGCTTACCTGGCCAGTCAGTTTAGCCAAAATGGCAAGCTATGTTCAGTGACAGACTGCTTCAAAAACTAAGGTGGAGAGCAATTGAGGAAGATAGCTGACATCCACCTCTGGGTTCTACACATACACATCCCTCCCCAAAAATGCATATATTAAAAATTTTAAAGAAATGCTGTTTGGCATTACTTCAGGCCCTGCTGGGCTGTCAAAAAAAAAAAAATATGGCATGAATACATTCATTCATGCTCTTTCAAGACATCTGAAAAGTTCTGAATTCCAAAACTCATCCAGCTTCCAGATTCCACTTAAGACTGTAACCCTGTCCTCAGAAAGCAGCCAAGTCTGGTGGCATAGGCAGGGTTCCAAATTCAAGATCTGCTCAGGTAAGAGAGTGAGTTGAAGGCCAGCCTGGGCAAGTTAGTGAGACCATCTCAAAAAAAGAAGTGAAAAGAGGGCCACCGCGCTAGAAGTGGCTAAAGGACACCAGCCTCTCTTCCCTTTGTTACTACTCTAGTTCTTTCTATCTTCTCAGAGAATCTCTTAACAACATATTTGTAACTAATAGCTTACTCATTAGAATACATTATTCAATCAACTATGAGTGGGTTATGGGTGTGAAGAAACCCTTGTATCTTCACTTTAAATGCACAATTGTTTCTTAGAAGTGATGGCTTCCTATGACCACCAAGTTTTATTGTGTGGCTAGACTTATTTGTTCTAATTAAATGCATAAATCCAACTCACCACCAAAAGGATGGCTGGGGATACAGCTCAGTGGGAGAGTGCTTACCTACCATAACTGAGGGCCCTATTTCCAATTTCCAGAAGAAATCATAATAAATGAATAGGAAAATGAACACACATTGGGCTAAGCAGATTTCTAACTGTAGGCAGTCACTGTGCTTTTCTCTTGTGGTACCCAGATCATTGTGTTCTTGGACAAGTACACATATCTTCCTC